CTGAAATCAAGTCAGATGCTTAACCGACTGAGCCACCCACACGCCCCTGGATTTTCATTCAAAAAAAATTCAACTGCTAAAATATATATAAATAAATAAAAACAATTTTGGCGGGGGGTGGGGGGACAAATAGGGACTTTCTTTTTCAAACAGGACTATTTCAGTATTGACCAGGTATTTGGTAATATTAGGGAATCAGTGTTGATCTTTAAATCTATGATCCTGAAATTGTCCTTGCATTTCAAATATATATTTATAGACAGAGTAATTTGGTGTCTGGGGATTCCTGCTAAGTTACTCAGGGGGTACGTAAGTGGAGAGAAATGAGTTCGATGTTAAGAGATGTGACAAGATGGCCGTTCGTTGGTTAAAGCTGTGTGAGGGGGGCTCCGTGTAGGATCCTCTGCCTTTGTACTTTCCCTGATACAAAGTGGGGAGAAGCAATCCATGGGGGTGGCCCATGCAACCAGAAAGCCTTCCAGTTCCCCACACACCACACACCACAGTCATAACCCTGCACCTTGGCCCTGGAGCCCCTCCAGCCCCTCCAGCCCACCCACTCACCCACCCTTCTACCACATTGAGACCTTTCATCTGGGGGCCTCTCCATTTTCTGCCAGTCTTCAGATACCTTTTGGCTTCATCTCATCTCTGGTCTACAGCCCATGGTTGAGGACTTCAACCTCTCTCTCTCTCTCTCTCTCCCTTCGACATTGACTGTCTTGCCCTCTTGTCCTCACATTGTCTCTAGAGGCAAAGCCTATGCCTGGACTCGTCCCATGAGTTCTCTGCTCTCACACTCACCCTGCAACAGGCTGCCTGGCACATGCCAGTCGGAGGCACAGCACGTCGAGTGTCCCCGACCTCGGTAAAACCACGACACCACGGAACAATCCTTCAGCCTGTCCCTGTGTCCTTCGCTGGCTGTCTCAAAGCTTCCCCTTTCAGCTCAAAGCCCCAACTCTGCCTCTTCACTCGGCACTCTGAAAACTCTGAAAGGACAATGAGTGTTTCACTAAGAAAGGCAAGACCACCAGATGCGAACTCCGCGAACCTGTGTTCTGGAAACCCCTTCTCCGACCTCTTGAGGGAAGTTAACCACTATTTACCCTCCTCTTAGAATCTTCAACTCTCTGGGGTGCCTGGGTGGCTCAGTCGGTTAAGCTTCTGACTTCAGCTCAGGTCATGATCTCACGGTTTGTGAGTTCAAGCCCTGTGTCAGGCTCTGTGCTGACAGCTCGGAGCCTGGAGCCTGCTTTGGATTCTGTGTCTCCCTCTCTCACTGTGCCTCCCATGTTCATGCTCTGTCTCTCTCTCTTTCTCAAAAATAAGTAAACTTTAAAAAAATTAAAACAAAAAAGAATCTTCAACTCTTTAATATCCTCAGTGTCTTCTCAACCTCTTTCTCCTTCTGTCTGTCTGTCTCTCTTTCTTCTGGATTTTTCAATACTTTCTCAATGTCCGGAAAAAAACAAAAACCTGTCTTTCTAGCTTCCATTTCCTCTTCCTTTCGCTGCCAAACTATTTCTCACCATTCATTCTTCAGCCCACTATTTCTAAAACCACCAATGACCTACAGAGTCGATTGCCAGAGTCAAAAGGCATTATTACCCCATCCTGATCTTATGTGGCCTCTTATTGACGTCTACACTAATGGGAGGCACTGGTGAGGTACAGAAGAACTTGGAGCCACCCCTGAGGATACAAACCAAATCCGCATTTGCATTAGCAGTTTACACAGAGACATTTGGAAAAAGTAGGACTGAACAACTGAGACGCATTCAAGCGGTCAGAGATTAATCCCGGGGAGAGATGACTAGACTCTAATTGCAAATTAGTGGTGGCGATCTCTGTTCTCAGGACGACTGCACAGACAGACAGGGCCACTCGGAGTAAAACAAAGCAAACTCCATCCTGTGGCGCTGCCTCCGGAGAAGGAGGGGCCTTGTTGGAAGTTGAAGGAGGCTTTTGCTGCTTCTCAATCACTGGAATCTAAGAAGGAGAATGGATTCGTGTATTACGTGTATAATTAAAAATCAGTTAAAAAGACAGAAGAGGCTAGTGAAAGAAGCCAGACACCAGAGTACATTCTGTGGCGTTCTACTCGTACTAAACCCAGAAGAGGCAAACTCATCTATTAAGAAGTGGATCAGAACAGCTGTTATTCTGGGGCCGTACAGACGTGAGGGGGCATGAGAGAACCTTCTGGGTGCTAAAAGCATTCAACATCTTGAATGGCCCGGAGTCGTCACACAGGCGTGCACCTATGCAAAGCTCAGATTTGTATATTTTACTCTGCGTAAATTATACCCGAATTAGAAATTAAATAGAAGGGTACACATTTTCCAAAATGAAAAAAAAGGGGGGTGGGGTGGGAGAAGAAGAGCTGTGTAAAGGGAGCGACCTCCCTAATCCACCCACGCGGTTAGTGCAGGGAGACTAAGGAATTCAACATTCAGATTGTATGGCTGGGACTCAGCTGTGCACTGGGATCCCAGCTTGAGCAATGGGACTTTGTGATTCCAACTTGACCTCATAGGGGGGGAACGCGCTGATCCACCCATGTGCTCATGGCCGTGTACTTGACACTGGAATGTTTTCACTGTGATTAATCAATTGGCATCCTGGGCTGGAAATTTCAGTCTCCAGAAACTCAGCGAATAGTTACTAGCACTCCTAGTCTTGAGTCCGACGCCTTCGGAGCACCCATGTGCTACTTTCCTGGCTCCTCGAGGATCCCTTGCCCAGACCACTCAGGAGCCAGCCTGGTGCGGGGCCCCCTGACCATGGCCTGCTTTCTCTGTGCTGTTCCAAGAGAGGGGAACGGGTGTGGGTGGGAAGGAGGTCTAGAGTGATTCTTAGAAATCGCCAGTTCAGCTCTTCTGCCCCTGTCTTTCCACACTGGCTCTCACTGAGTTCTCGTCATGTCTAACCTTACTCACTGCTACTCTCTTCGCCACTTCTTCCCTTTCCCATTCCACTTCCCTTCCCCCCTGCTTGGACTTTTTCAATGGTTCTTCAGGGCTCCCATGTTCAAGTTCAAACCACTAGATTTGGCGGAGATAACAGTTTCGCCTAACTTGCGACTACTGCACCTCCACCCCCACTCCCTGCATACTTTCCACTTCATCCAGTTTGCCAAATTGGTGGCACGCTTGACATTTTGGATGGGGCAATTCTTTATTGTGCAGGACTGGCCTGTGCATTCCAATAGGTTTAGCGTTCTTGTCTTCTGCCCACTGAATACCTGCGATACCCCACCTTCAGACATTCTGAGAACTAAAATATGCTCCCAGATATTTCCAAACAGCCCCTGCTTTTCCCACTGGATGGCTCATACTGGCCCTTCATACTTCAGCTCACGTATGGAATCATATACAGTTGCCATCCTCATGGTTCAAGAACACAGAGTGTTGACTATTTAACAGGATTCAACCAAGTATTCTTTCTTTCTGGAAGCTCTCACTACTGACGCCCTACCGCACTCTGTGCTTCTCCTTATCCAGGTGTTCACACCATGTGTGGTAAGAGCTGATTTTCTTGTCCCCTCCCTCTCAACTCACTGCTCAGCCCTAATTACCTGGGAGCAAAGACCAAGTCCGAACTTAATCTCTCGGTATCTCAAGCTTCACTTGGCTCAGTACCTGTCACATCATAAGTAATAAACTCATATTTGATGAATAAACAAACAGGATATTGAGCATACTTTCCCTGATGACTCAGTGTTGTTATTCCCGGGCATAGAGATGACTTCCAGGCTGACTGAGCCACTTACAGCTTTGGGCTCTACACCAATGACCCTCCTTCGCCCTGCTTTGTGGGTTCGTGGGTTTGGATTTTGCATCAGACCATCAGTGTGCTTGCCTCCCGTGATCCCTTGGGGCCTTTGAAATCTGAGGCAGACTGTCCCAAGTGCTGTGTCCAGGCACTCCATGAACTATGCCCCCTGAACATTGCAATAATAACCACTCTGGTTCAGGACCCTTTTGTCCTATGTCTGGGTTCTTGCTAGGTTTCACGCCCCGGAAGTTCTCTTCTGCTTAGTGAGGCAATCAGTTTCTAGAACCCTCTCCATAGTCATTTTCTTTTTGGAAACTGCTTGGAGACGACCCAGGAGGACTTTTGAAATACAGAAATGTTTCAGTGCTGAAGTGCCCATTCCTAGGCCCCTAGATGGACAAAGGAATTTCTCAGGGTGTTTTCGAAGTAGTTGTTATATCCCTGTAGTCTCAAAGTTTATGGGTACACTTTTTTATTTTGAAAAGTTTTACATCAGTAAACACTGAGCTATAGATCTCAGATTTAGGATTTTTCTAATTTTTGGTTTGGATGACTTTGAATAAAAAAATAAAATAAAGCACCTTTTCATTATAATTCATATAGAATGAAAACCAGGACCATGAGGAACAGAGTTAAGAAGAACAACCAGGCAGGAGTAAGTGGGGAAATACGATTCCTCCTCACCCCCAATTTTGGTATTTACCATGCCTTTAAATGTTTTAAAAATATTTTAATATATATCTTAGTAAGTGTTATATAACTCTATCAACAAATAATTTTTATTTCATTCTTTTATTTTCAATATTTATTTTTAATCATTTTTCTCTTTTACAGGTTAATTACAACAGTTTAAGAAACAAAACTATGTAGACAGAAGAATGTTAAATAGTTTTTTTTACAAATAGCTTGCAGCTTACAAGAAAGGCTATATAACCTCATTCCTCTACACATTCATACTAAACCAAATAGCTTATAGGAAATTAGTATTAAATAGCAACACACACACAAAAAAACATAGATATAAATAACATAAAATAGAGTTTGACTCTAACGTGATGCTTAACAAAGCAAACTATGATGCAATATGTATCAACTTCATCAATTGGACAAGTCCAAGGAGGCACCAATCAGGTAAGTGCTAAACTCTCAACTGCCAACTCCAGCTAGATTCTTTTGTTCTTTTGGGCTCTGTCCAATTCCTTCGCAGAGAGCATCAGTTTTCACATCTTCTTGACTCTTTGGCTGTCAAGAGGAAGAGAAGAAAACAATAAGCAAAGACAGGATGGACTGGCTGGTAGGAGTGCCTTTTGCACCTAAACATTACTTCTCATTAATCTCAGGGCGCCAGCGGCTCAGAGTCCAGATGAGGAAATCAAGGTTCAGAGAGGAAGGGCCCTGCCCAACACAAGTGAGCTGGCTAGAGATGGAAACAGGATTGAGCGCTTAGGTTGCATCTTTAAATTCAGTGTCTATGGCACCTTTGGATTAGGTGGCTTCTGTTCATGTTGATAAAATGTTACTCTCCATTATCATCAATGGAAATCAGAATATTGATCTCTGGTTGGCTCTTTATTTTTTAGTTTTTAACAAAGAAGTATCATGCGGTCTGTAAATTCTATAAATGGGAGGCATCTTTGCACCAAAATGAAGAAGCTTGTGACTATTAAATGCACGGAGGACTAACACATCTCGTAAAACTCACTAAATTAAAAAAAAATAAAAAGGATGTTAAGTGGGAAAAAATGAATTTTTGTTTTATGGTCCAACTCAAATTTCCCCTTTAAAATTCTACAGTGCTTAGGCGGAAGGGTCCCAGCGAGTCTATGATCCACTACTCTGCACTTGACCTTTGCCCCAGACATTTGGAGAGGGACTGAGGGTAAATATCTCATACCTGAGGATATGCACAGCCTGTTTCACCCAGTTCTTCTTTGGATCTGCGCACACAGCGAATTTTTTCTTTGTGTAAAAGCTATAAAAAACAAAAAACAAAAAAACACAGAACATTTTATTTGTGCTTCAAAAGTTTTGAACGGCTACGTCATAGAACACCCAATGGAAATTTTGTATTCCAGCTGACTGCTCTACCCACTAAGCATTTTAGTTTTTTCAGAGGTGAAACAAAATACCAAAAAAATATATATCTCTGATAAAGCTTGATGCAAGAAATGAAAGGGACTCTCTCCTACTTTCTCTGCAACTGAACAAATGGTTGAACCATGACTGTAAAATAGTCTTAGAATGATTTAATTTTGTTGCCGGTGGTTACACTAAACATGAGTATATCTGACTAATTTATATCATTCCGAAGTATAATATCCTATATGAATCAAGAATATTATATGTGAAAATATAAAAGCCCCAACCATTCCCTGGTGGAAGATGCTCATTTCCAAATCGATGTCTTCCATATTTTCATGAGCTAACGCGTTAGGTGCTTACAAGTTTATCTTAGAAAGCGGTTTTTGCCCTCGACTCTGTTCTTTTTCTAAAAAAACCAAGCTTTCACCTTAGTCCTGTCCTATTTAAACTTTGAAGTACATATGCCCTATCAAAACAAACGTATCTTTGCCACATCGGTTATTTCTGAATGCAACTCCAAAAAAGGCAAACATGTTTTGAGACTCAATTGATACAATTGAATTCAAGTCAGTTGATAACTTACATGATTGCATTGATATCACAGGCTTCATTGGACAGCTGCTGCGTGAAGCCCACGATAAATCTGGGATGAAGGATGCGTTCTGTATACCGAAGGCAGCAGTCAAAGCTGCTTGCTGCTAAAAAGAAATTGCAAGTATTGAGTCCACATGAATGAACGTATCTTGTGATAGTATTACAGAACTACTTGGAGTTGGAGTTGTAGATGCTAAATAAACTATTTAGAGAAAGAGTTCCAATGGCTTTGAGACCTGATTTAAGGTAGCTCCCAGCTCTCTTTAAAAAAAAAATGGTTTATGTGCTGGGCAATTTTGGTTCGAAAGTCTAGAAGCACATGATCTCCAACGAAAGGAATATCTTTACTAAGAAATACAAATGGACAGTGTTTTATTTTAAGTTCACTATGATCACTCAAGAATATGAGTACCTCCCACTTGAAGAAACTCTTATAGATAAGCTTCCAAATTCAGAAAATGAAGAAGTATGGAGATCTTAATCTATTATCCGGCCACTGGGTACTAAGAGGAGGGGAACAGCAAGAAGTTATAAAGGAAAATGTGATTTATCGGAGCTGCTTATCCGGGCTGCAATTGAAATTGTAATATTAATGGAAACATTTTAATTTAATTTATTATTTTAATGTTTTATTTTGATCATAAAAGTTCAACACGTGCATTTTCAGGGATGCACCTGTCATTAGACGTCATGTGCTCTGACAGTCATAAAGCAATTCTTGGACATTCCCCCCCAGGTTAAATTATAACCTGCTATACGGTAAGGAATAAATGTTGTCTCCAAGTTGGCAAAAGATGGCCCCAAAGCCACGTAAGGACGGAGAAGACAGGTCCCATCATCTGCCCCTAAAGGGTGAGTTTGGATCTTTACTATTTAGCTGAGAGGTGAGAAAGTTGGGAAGGTGGGAGTGTTCCCCACATTTCTGAATTGACCCCACTTACTGGTAATGTTACCCAATTTACATCACTCCCAGAAATAGCACTTTGGCCTTGTTGCAGAGCTTGGGGGGTCTCTAAGAGCCCACCCACCCACCTCCAAATCTGCTGGGATTGCCAGCAGAGAGAAAAGCCCGGTCAGCAGCAGCAACCTTTCCCTACTCACTCGCCAATGAGCTGACAACTCCCATCACTTCTGAAGACTTTCTAACAGGCTCCCATTCCTTGGGGACCCCCGGGTGAGCTCAAGGCTTAGCGGAAAATGAAAATAGTTCTTCCTCCTGCATTAGCAGAAAGAGTGATACTCACCTTCTGACTTGCTGCACAGGTGGAGTAGCAGCACTGACATCAAAGCAGCCAAGAGCAAGTTCTTGCCACTGTCCATCATTTTCAGCTCAGGGAATAGATCTGCCCAGTGCTGGGTACCCAGTGTGCTAGGAGTGCTGCTGGGTTCTGGTAGCAGCCTGGGTCTGGGATGGCCCTACTTATAGCAAATATTGGGAATGTACACAGAAGGCGTGTTCTAACGTGGGTTTTCCCCCATTGATCAACCTGCCCCATCATGTCGTCACAAAAAAATAACCACAGGGAAAACTTCCTGCCTTTCCCTAATGTTGGGAAGCTGTGAAGGTCAGAGGAGGGGGGCGGCGTTTGAGAAGGGGGAAATCCTGCTAAATCCTTTGGATTTGCAAAGAGGGAAAAGCTGCCCAGCCCTGTGGCTCAGGAAAGGTTTTCATGCAGTTTCAACTTAATGTCTCGTCTCTGAAAAGAGAGGACAAGGATTAACAATGATACAAAGGTCAGTCCTACACCTGGACGTTATAGGACTCTATTGTTCACACTGTATTTGCTTTCCAGAGTCAACTGGGAGCAAGAGGATGAGACAGGACGCCAGGCATGCTTGGGGACACATTTACAATTGCATAGTTGGTGCTCAGCTATCCCCGAAGACCTTGTATTTCCAAACTACCACTCAGATTAGGTAATATGACAGTGGTGTAGTAGTTTTCCCAATTTTGGCAGAAGATACCAGACCTCAAGTGTGACTCAAGCCTCAATCTTGATGCCATGCCAATTCTTCTAAGAATCTTCTACATTTATATGACTAATCAATATCGCAGCCCAGAAAATACTCCCCGTCTGCCCTTAACTCTTCATGCAGATGGAGTTTTATAACTCAATACAAAGTCTCAGAAGAGTTGAAGAATAAAGACAATTCACAAAATAAATGTCAAATAATAGTGATAATGATTGGGGCGCCTGGGTGGCTCAGTCGGTTGAGCGTTCGACTTGGGCTCAGGTCATGATCTCGCGGTCCGTGAGTTCGAGACCCACGTCGGGCTGTGTGAGGACGGCTCAGATGCTGGAGCCTGCTTCGGATTCTGTGTCTCCCTCTCTCTCTGCCCCTCCCCCGCTCATGCTCTGTCTCTCTCTCTCTCTGTCAAAAATAAACAAATATTAAAAAATTTAAAAAAAAATAATAAGGATAATGATAATAATGTAAAATGAATCCCTGACCTATGATGGTATAATAAGAACTCTCCACAAGGGAGAATATCATTGTATGTTAGGGATTAGGTTTGTAGGAAGGGAGTTTTTGGAGATAATGGAATTATTTTCTATCCTATCACAGGCATGGTTACACATATCTACATGTATGTTAAAATTCCTAGAACTGTACATCCAGAGAAAAAAATGAATAGTATTGTATGATTATTTAAAAAAATAAATTTAAAAAACCCTGAAATCATTAAACAAAAACTATCCACTAAACACAAATATGTTGAAAGTAAATAGGTCAATTGACAGGATCGTATGGTTCTTATCTTTTCTTTTATTAATGTGATGTATCACATTGATTGATTTGCGAATGTTGGACCAGCCCTGCAGCCCAGGAATGAATCCCACTTGATCGTGGTGAATAATTCTTTTTAATATGGCCTTTTGCAGCAACGTGGATGGAACTGGAGAGTGTTATGCCGAGTGAAATAAGTCATACAGAGAAAGACAGATACCATACGTTTTCACACTTATGTGGATCCTGAGAAACTTAACAGAAGACCATGGGGGAAGGGAAGGGGAAAAAAAAAGTTAGAGAGGGAGGGAGGCAAACCATAAGAGACTCTTAAAAACTGAGGATAAACTGAGGGTTGATGCAGGGTGGGAGGGAGGAGAAAGTGGGTGATGGGCATTGAGGAGGGCACCTGTTGGGATAAGCACTGGGTGTTGTATGGAAACCAATTTGGCAATAAATTTCATATTAAAAAAAAAGAAAGTAAATAGGTCAAAAAAAGATATACCATGTAAACAGTAAAAAAAAAAAAAGCTGGAGTTGCTATGCTTATATCTGACAAAATAAATTTTACAACAAAAATTGTTACTAGAGATAAAGAGGGGCTTCCATTATAATAAAGGATAAATTCATCAGGAAGATACAAGATTTATGATCATATATATATACCTAACAATAACCCCCGAAAATATATGAAGCAAAACTGACAGAATGGAATGGAGGAATAAACAATTCAACAATAAAAATTGGATACTTCAATACCACATTTTCAATAATGAATAGAAAAACTAGATAGAAAAGCCACCAGACCTAACAGATATCTATAGAACACTACACCCTACAATAGAATAGGCATCCACCCTTCTTAAGTGCACCTAAAACATTCTCCAGAATAAATCACATGCAAGGCCAGAGGACAAGTCCTAATAAATTTAAAAGGATTGAGATCACACAAAGTATGTTTTCAAAACACAGTGGAATTAAATTAGAATCAATAACAGAAGGAACTTTGGGAAATTTACAGTGATATGGGGATATTAAATGTTACACTCCTATATAACCAATGTGTCAAAGAGGAAATCATAAGGAAAGTAGAAAATACTTTGACATGAATGAAAGCGGAAACACAAGCATACCAAAATTCATGTGGTGCAGCGAAAGTACTGCTCAGAGGGAAACTTACAGCAAGGATACATGAAATAATAGCAAAACAATAGAGGAAATGGGTGGAACTAAAAGTTGGTTCTTGGAAGAGGTCAACAAAATTAACAACCTTTAACTAGACTAACCAAGAAAAAGCAGGGGAAGGGGGTGTGGACCCTGAGAGACAAATTGCTAAACTCAAGAATGTAAGAGAGGTCATCACTACCAACTGTAAGAAAGAAAAATGACTATGAACAACTGTATGTAATAAGTTAGATAGTATAGATAAAAGGGACAAATGAGTAGAAAGATACAACGTCCTGAAACTGACTCAAGTAAACATAAAAAGCTCAAAAAGCCCAACAACAAACAAAGATATCAAATTGGTAACTAAAAATATTTCCATAAAGAAAAGCCAAGTAAATTCTACCAAATATTCAAAGAAAAATTGAAGCTAATTCTTTCAGAAACGTTTCCAATAAGTAGAAAAGGAGATAACAATTTCTAACTCATTCTATGAGGACAGTATCACACTGATATTAAAGTAAGATAAAGACATCACAAGAAAATAAAACTATAGGCCAACAGCCTTAATCAATACAGACACACAAAAATACTCAACGAAACATTAGTAATCTATATCCAGACATATATACAAAGGACCACGTACCATAACCAAGCGGGACTTATCTCATGAAATGGCATACATAATATTAACTAAATTTAAAAGAAGTATGAAGGGCATTTAATAAAACCCACCACCCTATCATAATAAAAACAGTCAACAAACTAGGCAGAGTAAAGAACTTCCTCAACCTGTTAAAGGTCATCGATGAAAATCCCACAGCTAATGATACCTACTGTCGAAAGACTGAATGCTTTCTTCCTGAGATCAGGCCCCAGACAAGGATGTCTATTCTCACCAATTCTATTCAACATTGTGCTGGAGATTCTAGCCAGGGCATCTGTACAACAAAAGGAGGAAGACACCCAGATTGGAGAGGAAGTAGTAGCTATCTTAATTTGCAGATGACATTATCTTATATATGGAAAATCTTAAAGAACCCACTAAAAAAAAAAAAACTATTAGAACTGATAAGGTCAGCAAGGTTGCAAGATTCGAGGTCAACATACAAAACTCAATTGTATCTCTACACACTATCAGTGTTCACTGATAATAATGTGCACCTGAAAATACAATTAAGAAAACAGTTACTTCTACAATAGCATCAAAAACAAAAACAAAGACAAAATACCTAGGTGTTAGTTTCACAAAAGATGTGGAAAATGAAACTAAAACTACAAACTGTTATTAAAGAAATGAAGGAAAACTTCTAAATAAAGAGAAAGACATCCTCCGTCATAAATCAGACAGACTTGGAATTGTTAAGATGGTACCACCCACCCACCCCCAAAACTGATCTTCAGATTCAACATAATTCCTACCAAAATTCCAGCTGGCTTATTTGCAGAAATGGAAAAGCCAATACTCAAATTCATATAGAATTACAAGAGATCCCAAATATTCAGAACAAACCCAACAAAGAAACGAAAGAACAAAGTCGGAAGACCTACGGTTCCTGATTCCAAACTTACTACACAACTACAGTCATCAAGGCATGTGATACTGGCATAAGTGTAGACATGTAGATCAGTGGAATAGGACTGAGAGCCCAGTTAGAAGCCCCCTTGTATAATCAACTGATTTTTTTTCATTGCGGTGCCAAGACCATTCAGGGGAGGAAAGAAAAATCTTTTCAACAAATGGTGCTGGGACAACTGGATATCCACATGCACAAAAATGATGAGAACCCTCTACCTCGCACCATGCACAAAAATGAACTCAACATGGATCACATACCTAAATATAAGAGCTAAAACAATGAAACTCTTAGAGGAAAATATAGGAGTAAGTCTTCATGACCTTGGCAACGGTTTTTTACAGACATAACACCAAAAGCTCAAGCAACAAAATAAAAAACAAATAAACTGGAGTATATAAAAATGATAAACTTTTGGGCTTCGAAGGTTATTACAAAAATGTCAAAAAATAACCCACAAAAAGGCATGAAATAATTTTCAACTCGTATATCTGATAAGTGACTTTTCCTTGTATCCAGAATATACGAAGAACTCTTGTAAATCAGTAATAAAAAGATAACCAACTCAATTTAAGAATAGACAAAATATCTGAATAGACATTTCTCCAAAGAGATGTAAATGACCAACAACACATGCAAAGATCATCAAAGTCATTAGTCATTAGGGAAGGTAAATCAAAACCACAATAACATATCACTTCACACCCATGAGAATGGCTATAATCGAAAAAGATGGCTAAGACATATTGACAATGACATAGAGAAATTGGAACCCTTATATGCTGTTGATGAAATGAAAAATGATGTGGTCCCTTTGAAAAATAGTTTGACAGTTCCTCAAATGGTTAACCA